TTAGTCAGTTGGTGCATAAGAGCATCTCTAACAGTCCTGCTGATGCAGGGCCTGGGACCAACCTCAGCAGGCTGCAAGGCTCTTTTGGCCGCTAGTGGAGATGCCAAGCAAGCTGCTGAACATTGCGGGGGTGGACCAAAGCTGCTGTCAGACACTGAGACACTGGTCCATGTGTCTACATGAGAATGTAACCCCCTTGGGTTACATAACAATTATTATTATATTTAATCTTTAAGTTAATAATTATAAAGTAGTGTTATCCCTTTTTACATGTATCTTTTATGTTAATAATTATTCTGTAAATTGATAAAGATTCACCTCTTTATTAATTTACCTCTTCCATGAAAATTATAATCAATTTGAAAAGGATAATTATCTCCTGGGTATATCCAAGAGATGATTATCCTATTTACCTCTCTTGTGTGTATGATTATTATGTTTATCTCTCTTAAGGTATTTTCTGAAATAAAGGATATTCAGCACATGTACATTTAGCATTCTCTGAATATCCTGACACTTTCCCCCAAGGAAAAGTGTACCAATAAGGGGACTGCACCGGTCCCAGCAGCAGATTGACCCCTGCTCTGTAATATTTAAGAGGATGTCTCTCCCCCTGAGATTCATCCCCCAGACAATATTACCATACAAACCCAAGTGCCTTACTAGTTATTACAAACAACTTAGTGAGTGGGGTTTTACAGTAAATTATTGTACCTTAGTTATTACATTTCTCTTTATCTTCTTACTAGCCTTATAAGTTACATATTTAACTTATAAGACTAGTACAAACCTCAATTTCCTTATAATCCTTCAGCTCAGGCACTGTGAAGCTCATCCCACAGTTGTCCCTTATTCTTATAAGGAGCTAGCCCCTCTACTTTACAAGTGTTGAGTTGGGCTTAATTCCACTGGCCACTCTTTGGCTATAGTGTGACCCATTATCCCATCAACTCTTGGTCGGGGGTTGTCAGGAGTGGTCTCTAATGTGACTCACTTCTGAATGAACCTTATAGTATTGAGACTAACTATCTGAGGTTGTTGGAAACTAGCAAAAGGAAGATTGTTGATAATCGGAGGGAATGTAATCAAAGTAGGGAAGAAAAGAGGATAACAGTAAAAGAAATAAGAGAGAGGTGTCGGTTAATAACCCCAATCACAATGTATATTGTAATAGAGCGGGTTTGGTAAAAATCTGGTTTTTCTCTTTCTTTCCAGAAGATCAAACCTTATAAGGTTTTGGTTCTATACATGAGTCTTAATAACCCTTTTCGGACTAGTATTCCGAAAGGGGTTAAGCTTATTCTCTATCGGTCGAGTTTTTATCTTAAGTTAGGTAGCCTAATGGCACATTGAGATTACTTCTCAATGTGCTCGAGGCTGACACTCGCCCCCACCAAAAGAATGGCTCTGATGCCGGAGCTGTCACCCGACCTTCTTTTTGCTCTAAATCTGCGTAATAGTAGATCTACTTGCTGAATGTTTTCTTTAGGTAACCATTTATCGTTATCAGCTGTTTGATTTTTAAATCTTACTAGGTATAATCTACAGTCTTTCCCGTTCATCCTGGTGAGCTTCTCGTCTATGATTTTCAGTGGTACTCCGACATCTTCTGTCTCTTCAAAAGGCGGTATATTTGGTACAACAGGGTTGTCTTCTCCCGACTGGGAGCTATTGTATTTCTTGATTAGGCTGATAGGAAAAGTGGGATGTTTTTGATCAAAACCTTCGGTAAGAAAAACTTCTACTGCATTAGGGCCATGAAAGGTTTTTATCACAAAAGGTCCTACAAATGCATCTTTCAGCTTTCTGGAACCTCCTAGGTTGGTAAAGTTCAATGTCAAAATTAACACAAGGTCCCCTACTTTCAGGTCGCTACTTTTATGATGTTTGTCCCATCGATCTTTGTTGTATTCTACGGCTTCCGCTATACACTCGCTGGCCTTTTGTTCTGCTTTTATCATCATCTCTTGAAATCTAGACGCTGATGGGTGTATTTGAACTGTATTGCTAAGTAACATATCTTTTGGCATTTTAGGTATCCAACCCCGTTCCAGTTCAAAAGGACAAAGTCCTGTAACAGAATGTTTACTTGAATTGTATGCGTATTCTAACGCTGGTAACAGAGAAAATCAATCGTGAGTATATCCCTCAGCGTCTTTGAAACGCATACCGTACGCGCAATACCTACAAATCATGTCCTCAAGTGTCTGTATCATTCGTTTGGCTAAACCGTCAGTCTGTGGGTGGTATGCTGTTGAAAAGGCCAACTTGGTGCCAAGTATATTGAACAGATTCTTCCAGAATTCAGAAGTGAATTTCGGATCTCGGTCACTGATAATAACTTGTGGGCATCCCACATCACTTACAATACCGTTCCAAAATAACAAAGCTATCTCCATAGCTGTGCTTTCTTTGTGACAAGGAAGAAATCTTGTTCTCCTGGAGAAACGATCAACTATCACCAGTACTGCATCAAAATTATCCTTCCCCGCGGTAGGCAGAGCTGTCACAAAATCCATGTTGATCACTTCCCACCTGTTTTTCGGCTCTTCAATTCTCTGGAGTAGTCCAAAACGTTTGCCAGTCGCTTTGTTAGCTTTTTGGCACCTATCACAAGAATTACAGTAATTCTCTACATCCGCTCGCCAACCTGGCCACCAGGCTAGAATCCTCACTCTGTCAATGGTCCTCTCTTTAGAGAAATGGGCCGCGTTGATGGCGTCATGACATTCGTGCAACATAGTGTTAATGTGATCTACGGCTATCAAAACCAATGCGCAATGATTTTCGGAACGGTGGTATAATAACCCATCCAGAAGAATAAACCTTCCCGCTTGAAAATGAGATTTCCATGGTTCATCCAATTGGGACATAATGTCTTGTCTCTGTGTCTTGGATTTAAGGAGCTCTAGAAGGCTTAACAAATTCTTATTTGTACTGTAACTCGCTTCCACCGCGTCCCAGAATTCTCTGGCCAATCCACTGACTGATATGGCCATAATAGGTACTTCTCTTTCGGTATCTTCTTGATCTGAAGCCGGATTTGATTCGTTGTTAGGAAGAGCCCACCTAGACAATCCATCCGCATTCTTGTGAATGATACCGTCCCGATGAGTAATTGTCATGGCTCCACGCCATTCCTGGATGGAAATCTGCCAACGTAACATATGACGGCTCGGAGTCTTCATGTTGAGGAGAGATTTCAACGCTATACAATCCGTAATGACCTCGAACTCACAGCCGTCGAGGTAGTAATAAAGTTTCTCCAGTGCCCAAACCAAACAAAGGCATTCAAGTTGAGAGGCACCATATTTCTTCTCGGACTCTTTGAGCTGACGTGAGATAAAGCAAATAGGACCTTCCCGAGGTATGTCTCCTATTATCTGTACTTGATGGAGTGCTGCTCCAATGCCTTCCATACACGCATCAACATACAGTTTGAAGGGCTTGGATGGGTCCGGATGAAACAACAGCGGTGCCGAAGTCAACGCGAGCTTAAGTTCTTCATACGCTTGAACTCTTTCCTTCGTCATTTCAAACCCCACTGCTGGACTACACAATTTGTAAAGACTTCCTGCAATGAGGTTGAAGTCTTGAATGTGTAGTCTGTAATAGCCCGCAAACCCTAAGAACGATTGCAGCTCTTTGACTGTAGAAGGTATAGGTTTCAAAAGGACAGCCGCCACTCGGTGCTGATCAATGCCCAATGAAAGTCCGTTAACCACATGCCCAAGCGCCTTCAGCTCTGAGAAGCCAAACGAGCATTTAGTCAAGGAAATTTTCATATTCATCAATGTAATCTTTCTCAGAACGCAGCTTAATCGTTGAAGATGTTCCTCCCAACACTCACTAAAAATAATTATATCATCTATATAAATAATGAGCCACAATTGGCTCAACTCTTCTCTGAACTCTGTATCCATCATTCGCTGAAAATGTGATGGGGCATTCTTAATACCAAAAGGCATGCGCACATATTCAAAAACACCTAGATGACATATAATCCTAAGAAATTTTCTGCTATCTGGGTGAACAACATTCTGGTGGAAGCCTTTCAGGACATCCATGCAGGTAATAAATTTAGACTTATGCAACCTGGTTAATGATTCCATGATTTTGGGCATGGGGTATCTGTCAGGGGTCGTATAACTATTAAGTGCTCTAAAATCTCCAACTAACCTAGATTTACCGTTATGCCAAGCAATGATGACGGGTGTAGTAATATCTACATTCTCGTCAGCCCCTACTTTCCGGATGATACCCATTCGAGTAAGCAAATCAACGTGTTCTTCTAAAGCAGCCCTTGCTTCTAGGGCTTGCTGGATAAGGAGCTTTACGGAGAATGGGAGGATAAGGCCTGTCAATTGTCAGTGTAACTTTAACTTCGTGGCCCCTGATAGCTCCGAATGGTTTGTCTACAGTTGCAAAGGCTTTACGATGATTTCGTAGAGTACTCATAAGTTGTTGCCTTTTAGACAGGTCCAGGTCTGAACCGATCTTCGCGTCACGAAGAACTTCTTCTTCGAATTCTTTGGGTTCTCCTTTCTCGGATAAAACCAAATTAATGGCAGAGTCAAACTCAAATTTCTCACTATTTATTGAAAAGAAACGACCTTCGTCGTTCAGAAGAGAAATCTTGTAATGTGACAGGTAGTCATTCCCGATTATAAAGTAAGGAACCGCCATGTTTTCCATGACTACAAACTGGATCGTGAGCCTGTGAGAGTGAAAAAAAAGTTGTACTTTAACTATGCCTAATGGTTTAAGTGATCCACTACAACTGTGGAAACGGCCGGGTTTGGTTGCGAGGACAAATTTGGGCCAGTCCGCACAAAATTGCGACAAGTATGACGCTCCTACAAATGATTTCACAGCGCCACTATCTAAAAGGACTGTGCAGTTCTGGTTGGAACAAGTCATCCTTACAAGATTATTACGCCCTGTGGGAGCGAGAACTGCCATTTGACTATTAGATCCTATAACCAGGTCATTGTCGTCGTCTACTTCGCTCTCGCTCGAAAATTCTTCGCGGGTTCACCTACGTTATTGACCTTAGAGGGACAGTTGCAAGACGTATGACCTGTTTTTTGGCAAGAATAGCATTTGATGTCACTTGTCACCGGCGCCTTTTCTCGCCCTTCTATAACCTTTGAGGGGGTTTTTTCAATGGATTTTGGCGGGAATCTCTTACGACCAAGCCTCGTTTTATCAACTATATCTTCAAGGACATTAATCAGGGTACTCATATCTGCTGTGGTTGATTGCATGGCGTTCTTGGTAGCATATTCCACCTCTCTATCCATCAATCCGAGCAAACGGAAGTTAATGGATTGTTGTGATAATTGAGGTTCAAAAGCTCGAAGCCTCCTGTACTGCCTGGTGACCCAGGACGATACTGGTGTTTCTCCAGGTATAAATCTGTCTTTCTCGAAGGACTCTTGTTTCTTGCGCATCCAATTCGAGGTGCCATATTGTTTGCGGATTTCTTCTCTCCAGAAATCCCACTTCTCATCTTTATGATCTTTCCTCATAGTTTTGTACCACTGACTCGCTACGCCTGTCAGGATAGAGATTAACTTAACTTGAATGTATTCGTCGGGAATGGATGTCTCGTCTCTGCAGTCATCAATCCAGTCAATAAACTCTGTGTGGTCATATTCACCTTGACCTGAAAACTTCGGCCAATCTAATTTATTGACTGCGGCCCAAAGTTGTTTCTGCATCTCACTTATCCCTACACTCTGTACGTTAGTGAGCTGAGGGTTTCTGAAGTTATTACTACTGGTAGGCTGGATGCTGTATTGGTCGTTCCTTCTTCGGAAATTGGAACCGGGCTGAGCTGCCTGTCCGCTGGATCACACGGGAGAGGTATCCATTCTATCATTTATTTCACCAATACTGGCTCTGACTTCTGCACCGTCGTCTCCGAACTGACTCAAGAGCTGATCTAATTTGGTACTGAGAGAAGAGAAGTCTCTGCGGTGCTCTTCGCTCAAGTCCCTTATCATCTGTTCCACCGAGCTCTTGTTAACACATGACTCGTTCTTGGATCTCACTGCTTCGGCAAGTTGTTTTATTTCATGAGAGATCCCAAATAACATCACATCATTGTGACTAGGATCTCTGTCAGGTAATGTTGTTGTCTCCCTATTACCATTCTGTATTCTAGAATGCTCATTCTTCGTACTATGGACATTGTCACCAGTGTTCTCCATACTACCAGGAGTGATGGCTTTAATTCCTTGTAAGGACTGAGAGTGTCCTTCACTAGATCAGCCAAGATATGGAGCAAGGGACGGGCAATGGAGCCTGGAAGTTTCTAAGACCAAACACAGGAGCTTTTCATTACTGGCTCAGAGAGATGGAAGGGAGCAATTCTCTCAGTACAATCTAGAAAGAGAGAGGAAAGAAAGAGAACAAGAAGAAAGGAAAATGGGGACTCACCTGGCTCAGAGAGATGGAAGGGAGCAATTCTCTGCAGAGCCAGGAAGAAGGACTGAAAGAACAAAACTAAAAGGGAAGAGTGACATGTGTGTGAGAGGTTTGTGAACCCAGCCGGAGGGGGGGTTTACAGTCTCCCCTCCTATAAAAAAATTGAAGAAAGGAGAAAAGGAACAAAAACAAAATCCTTAGGAGAAAAAAGAGAAAGAAAAGAAATAAAAATGGAAAGGAATAAAAAAAGGGGGATATGGTGCCAGACCCGAGTCAAGCGCGTCCCGGGCAACCAGCTATAGCATCTGCTAGGTCGGCCTGTTCGGCCTTCTCAATTTCGTTTGCGAGGAGTTGCTTGTCAAGGTCCTCAAGTGCCGCCACAGCGGCCGGATCCATACTAGGATAGCAACCTTCGTCGTCGAAGTAAGTGTCCCAACGGTCGTCCTCCCGTATTGCTGCATCCAGTTGTAGTGCCGAGACTTGGGCTTCAAGAGGTGTGACGTCCGTAATGCCTGCGACGCTTGCGGCCCGAGTTGAAGGTCGACCCGCGGGAGGTTGAGTGGGTTTTCCTGGGGTGGACGATGGGCCGGATGGGTTACTCCAAGCGCGTGGGGCTGAGTAGTCGGCCGGTTTCGCGGTGTGGTGAGATTGATCAAACCCATAGATCTAGTTAAAAACATTTTATTACACATAAATAGTGTTTAAGATGATAGAGAAGAAGGGGTAAAATATAGAATACAATGTATAATAATTACTGGGTTACACATAGCTAAGATAAAGCCCCAAATCAGGCCTAAAATACATAAATCCTTATGAATAATAAATATACAAATAGATTGTAGAAACACATAAAGAGATACTACATCCATCTTAGATTGGTAAATCAAGGTATTGATCAGAAAGTACTTCACAGACTAGCTTTAGAAAATAACTCTTATACTAATTAGTCTAAGAATACCATTCTCATAGCAATTAATCTAAGAATGGGCCTCATATAGTAGATTTACAGCCTCTTGTATTAGAAAGGCACTTAGAGACTAATTCATATCAGATTAGGCCATCTCAGAGTAGTAAAAACCACTCTAGAAGTACCCTTCTCAGACGAACTTGTGTTCAGGCCAAAATCCCATGTACTGCAGAACAATTTGTCTATAAATAGAGGCTCTTCTGGCCCATGTTTTCCTCTTCCCTCCTCATGCTAGCTACAGAACAGTAATCAGAGATATTACTCAGCTTTCATCACCCCTTGATTAAAGAAATCCAGAGATTATTAGAGCCCTTGAACTTCCCTTACTTCAATTTTTGGCCATAGAAAAGTAATTCAGAAATATTGCTTAGCCTTTCTCACCTCTTTGAAAGAAATTAGAGAAATAAGCGTACCTTTATCAGAGCCCAGAGAAACCAGAGAGACTTATAAGATCAGAGAACAAGAGAGAATTTATAACAGATTTAACAGAGAAACCCTACAGAAACCCTTAT